TCGAGGTAGAATAGATCCATGGGGCTGTTTTAAATATTCCTTTTCTGAGCTCAGTTTTGACTCACCCCTCTTTCAAAAATGATCCTTGCGATTATAGTTGTGTGTGTTAGAATGTACAAATTTTTATAGTTTCTATGTCACTCAAATTCAGTGAGTAGCTACGAGAAAGAATATATTCCGGAAATTGCTAAGTTTTTTTTACAAACTTCCTTGACAGATCGTCACTCAATCTGAGATGTAAAGGATAGCGCAAACCCTACATTGGATAGGCAATTTTCGGCTGAGCCGTGGTTCTAACTAGGATTTTACTGTACTTCTCACAAAAAATCTGCAAAAAATTCAAAACAATCTACTTCTTCTAAGGTAGCTAGAAAATAAATATATTTAGATCTTTTATTCTCACCGTATTCACAAGAGAAATTTTTTTGTAATTTTGAATGTACTAGGGTCATTATCGCAGAACAGAGCGAAAGTTTCGCAACTCGCATCGCGCTTGTATTTATGGGGCTCACAAATACCAGAGACGGGTCTTTTTGGTTGTTACTTGCTAGCGAAGCTGAAAATTATTTCCTGAATAAGCTTATGTAGCACGTCCTCTGCAGGAATCCAAATTATATGAAAAATTCCGCCTTCTGCTTGTGATTATTGGAAGAACGAAACAAAACGAAAGAAATTCTATTTGCTTTGATGATGCAAGATGCGGAATCGCTGAATAATGAGAGCACACTCAAAAAACTGGAAAAAGAACTTCCCTGTCATCCAAGCAATGCAGCAGCATATCATCTTCATATAGTTTTCTGCAAAATTTGCGATTTAAGGAAAAGGCACAAAAACGGCAGAACTTTTAAATCGACCCAAACATCTCATCCTTGTATGTTTTTGGAAATGCGAAGTTCATTTTTCATACAGCTTCAATGAACAAGGTCCATGCACCTAGTGCGCATGCGAGTCGTTACTGTCTTTTCAGGGGAAAAGGCAGTAGTGGTGGCTCATCTTAGCGATACTGAAAAACAAGTGTCCTTTGACGGACAAGTCAGATCTGTTACCGTAAGCAACGTGAGCAGTGACGAGAAGGGAGTATCCTACACTCTCGAATCAGACGGCCACCGTTGGAAGGCGGAGGCAATTCGTCTTCCAAACTCAGCGCTTGTAAGTGCTTTGATTCGCCTTATCAGTCGCATACTTTTATTTTTCAGGTGTTGGGGTCTGGTCAGTCGGAGTACAATTTAGCATCAACCGACAGCTTCGAAGGTGGCGATACTGCGACTGGCACTGGAATGATCAAATCTTCTCACGCACCAATGCCAGGAATTATCGAGAAAGTTCTCGTGAAGGCGGGAGATGAAGTAAACATTTTAACTTTTGCGCAAACTATGCTAACTTAATATACCGGTTTGAGGTGCGGCAAGGTGATCCTCTTGTCGTAATGACCGCAATGAAAATGGAGTACATCATCAGGTAAATTTCGTATAGTTTTTCAGCGGATTAGACCACAGTATGAGCAGCAGCAATGTTGTTTCATCCAAATGCTAATTCCGACTCCAAAATCATATCGTGAAATGAAAACAGCTGCTGTTGAGATTCCAAAATATCGAATTGCTGTTGTTTAAGAACTGGAGCTCATTTGAATTGGCGTGCTGATCACGATTCACCTTGAGAAAGAGAATTTTGTGGATTGGGGCAGGTTTGCGGGGTTGACAAAAAATACGTTCAAGCTTGAAAGTTGCTAATTCGAATGCACAATCGTGAGTTTTGCGAAGATTTATGGGGCGAAGTTGATTCATGGTGAGATGGTAACGTAATCTTGTGCGAATGGTTTGAGGTGGATTCGGAGGTCGTATCCTCAATGGCATCTACATGATGCTGTTGACAATGATTTTAAGACTCGCATACTGATGTTTTCTTTCTAGCATTCACTACTGGTAAGTACTGGTGTAGGTCTTAGTCGTGAAACCGGATAGGGCTCAAAACACA